TACAGCAGAGCTTTTCGCTGCAAAAGCTTTGTTATCTGGCTGGCCACACGCTGTCTATATAAATATATATATATATATATATTTATGTATATCTATATTTCTTTGTACGATAGTGTGTACATAATGGCATTGGGATATGTGTGCAAACCAAATCAAAATGGCGTCACAGCCGGAACATTTTTGAATGCCTCTCTAATGATGAATTCAGTAGCTCGCGTGTCGCTTTGCCGCAGCTGTTGTCCCTGCAACAGCAACAACAACCAGGACATAGCCTAATGGGCTCCCGCTTTCAGTACGCTTCAGCTCCCAGCTCCCAGCTCCCAGTTCGCTGCTCTTTGGCCGCCATCTTGGCGGCTAAGTAGCTCATCGCCTGACAGCTGAGACGCGTTTATCATAATCAAATGTGGATGGACTCCAACATCGACTGCGACTTCAACTCCGATTTCGAGAGCAAACAAAAAGGTCGGAAATTAATTTAAATTGCCTTTTGATGTAAATGCATTCCTCAATGCAGTAGCAGTAGCAGTCGCACCAGAAGCTTCTCCTTAGAGTATGTGCTCCAGATTTGTCTTGCTGCAGTTATCGTTGGCTCTCTAAGTAGCTGCAACTTTTGCGCTGTGTGTGTTTGTCCTAAATGGCGCATATTTATCAACTGCCAGTAGCAGCTCCAACTGCTCCAGCCCTTCGCTCTGGCCCCCTTCTCTGGCTGCCTGTGCTGACCATTCACTAAGCTGGTTTTTAGCTGTGCAATGCGTGAAGAACTCAAATGGCAGGGTATTAACGAATTGTCGTGAGCTGGCTAAGCCCCGTTCCCGTGGCATTGGTATTGACCATTTTTCTTGGGTCGATGGCATGGCGTTTAATTGAAAACTGCTGCAGTTCCGCAACTGGAAGCATGTTGCACAGTTGCACAAGTTGCACAAGTTGCATGTGCCACTACTTCTATGCCCACATTTAATTTGAAAATTCCTCCAGTTTTTGTTGCCATGCAGCAGACGAAAACAAAACTACAAACACTGTTGATTGTTTCATATTAAAAGCATGTATGCAACAGCAGCAACAACAACAGCAGCAGCGGCAACAACATCAATATTAACAACATGCGAACGATGATGAAAAATCGCCTGCAACATGTTGGATGCTGCTGGGCAGCGCTGCCTCTCAGGCAGAGAGGGCTCCATCTCCAGCTCTGGCTGAGCATTTTTGCTGCCCGCTGGCAGCTCCGACATCAACTCCAATTACAGAAGTACACGAAGGCGTCTCTCTTATGATTCCTAGTTTTTTCTCTTCCCGTTTAGTTGATTTTTTCTTTTCATTTTCATTTATATTTTTACTTTTATAATATGGGTTCCCTCATGTCGTGCGGGCCAGCAAAGCAAACTAGAAGACCAAACGAAACGGTTGCATGTTGTTATGGAATTGGCAGCCATCTGGAAACCAAGTGAAGGCAACGACAACGTGGTCTAATCAATTGCTTACCACAAAAAACATGATAAATACCAAAACACAATTCAACTTTTTATTTATCAACAAGAAGTGTTTGTAATCGAAAAGAAATGTGAATACAAATTTATATATATATTCAATTCTGTAAGTTTACTTAAATATATTTTATGAGAAACTCAACTGGATTAACTGCTAAAGTTTTTAAAATAAACAAAGTTTTAGTTCTATCAAAGATCTTTCAGCGGAAGATATTCTTTATGAAGTTTTGTTTGCATAGATTTTTATTTAATATCTTATAGATCTCGCAAAAACACTGAATTAAATTGACGTAGCTGTACAGGTGGACTTCTATCTCTATATAACATATTATAATTTATACAAGTCGGATAAATTGTAAAGTTATTTTCTTAATATATTAATATGGATATATGGAATTGCCGGGAAGTCAGCTTTATAGTCAAGCTAAAAACTCTATAATGGAAATTTCTTTCTGGATGCTGGATATATACATATATATCTATATATGGATAACACTCTTACTGTAGAACAAACTGAGCCTTGAACTTAAAATAATAAAAAATAAGAAAAGCTTATATATAGAACAAATTTCAATGAGTTTATTATATTTTATTCTATTTAGCTATTGCTCCTTAAAACACACTTATGACTTAATAATAATAAATTTAATAAATTTAAAAAAAAAATATTTCAAACTTTATGATTACTAAAATATAAATAGACATATTATCAATGGTCGCATAAAACCAGAATTTATTTACGAAATGTTTGGATACCCATTTTGGAAATATGGTAATTAATAATGAATAGAATATGGTCATAATTAGAGTTATGTCAGATAGATTCTTAGGCAAACTTTCATTTGGTAGTATTAAGTTTTTCACTTGACACAAGCAATTTATCTTATCGGATTCAAATGCAAATCTCGCACGATAAAAATATTTAAATATAGAAATATACTTATGTATATATATATATATACATATATATATATATATATATATACGTTTGTGTATTTCTTGTTTTGCTTACTTGGAATTTGGTAGCAAGTCCAAAATTGATTTTTAATTAAGGCATTTAACCAAACGCGCTGCCAGAGCCGGACCCAGCCCAAAAACTCGTGAAGCCATAAGCTGTAACCCGTAACCCGTAACCCCAGATTGTGTATGAATCATAAGAGCCCCAAGACGTCGCCAGACAATGTGGTCAATAAATTTAAATCCCGATTCAAAATCACATTCAAAACTCGAGTGCAAACGAGCTCATTTTAAAGAGATGCAAACAAACCAAAACTCGGAACAAAATAATAAAAAACCAAATATAAAGAGAGAAAAAAAACTCATTTGTCGCTGTTTTTCTGTATTTTTCTGAGACTTTTTTTTCGTTTAGAGGCCGCGCTGTAAAATTTCGAACGCAGCCAATAAAAATGGAAATGATGGCGCACAGAACGAAACGTTTATAAAATAATAATGCGAAATAATAATGTGACGGTGATTTAGCGGAACAGCGCCACGATTGAATACAAATAAAGTGCCTGCATGGAGTTGGAGTGGTGGGGGTGGCATAGGGATGCCAGTGCTCGGTGTAGCGGGACGCACTAATCTAGGATGATTTCAGCCTAATCTGGAGCAAAAAACATCATAGCTGCTGCTGCTGCTGCTGCTGAGCTCAAAGAGAGTTGCAGAAGTGCGAAAGAGAGCGCGGGGTACTCCGATGTTGCCGTTGACGTTGACGTTGAGTGGCAGGCAATCATCTGCCTCGTCCAGCGTCCAACTACCTGTTTCTGTGCTGTTACTGTATGCCATCTGTGGCTGCTGTGGAGCAACCGCCGCTGCCGCCGTCGCCGTCGTCGCTGCTCCGCCATAGGCCGTTGGTCCAGGCCATGCGGCACCCCCTGAAGCATAAATCAAAGCAAGAGGCGTGGCTTACCTAAGAGAAAGCGAGCGCGACTACTTTTCGAACATGCGCACACTGTGTGCAGCTCGCTCGCACTTACAGTGTGCACGCCAAATGAATTACAATTTTCGAATACCCATACACTCGCGCACTCACTAGCAGTCGGACTCCACTCTGGCATTCGCCGAAAGGCTCGGTCAAACGTGAATCGAACGTGGCGCACTCAAGTACGCCAGCTGCGCGCTCGGTACCCGGTTAAATTCAAACTTAATCAAACTTTCCACTTACTAATGAAAATAGTCGTGTATCGCGAAGTACTACATGTCCAACTGGGTTGCTGATTGACAGCCAGCTCCAGCGACGGCACAAGTGAACAAAACTTAAGGAATATTTGATTTGAATCACAGTTTATCTTACGGATAACTTAGTGGCTTTCAGGCCTGAGGATAAATGCAATAACATAAATCCCAATTGTGATTTTTTTAGCATTTCCTATGCAAGAGCAAGGTTTTCAATGGGCTGCAAAGCTTTAAAAATGCCAATGAAATTGGAGAATTGCGTAAACTAATCGAAAGAAGTGTTTAAATGTATTCAATACATTGAAATTGTTGAGTGTACCACAAAAAAATAGCAAATACAATATATACAATTATTGAAGTGCAAATATTTAAATTTAGTTCTAAAAAGATACAACATTTCCGATTGGATTTCAAAACATTCAACTTTTAGGTAAGCACCAACGCCAATATAATTCAGTTTCACAAGAACTACAATAAATTCAGTTAAATCGGCTGTATAGAAGAGGAATTTAGGACTTTAAGAATGAGAAATGGAATAATAATTAATTGTTAAGTCTGAGAAAATAAGTAATAAACATTGAAAATATAAGGGGCGCCATTACATATTTATTTTATACCCATAATAATTAAATAACAAATTATCCTTAAACACCTTTAAAATAGTTTCATAAAACAAACTTTAACTTTCACGGTTGTTATCAAACTTTTTCGACAACTCGCACACACACATGGACACTCACTCAATTCCATAATTCGAAGTTCGAATATTTATAAATTGAAGCGATCCCATCTCTTTGTGTACATGAGGCACACGTACACTGTCCGTGTGATCAATAAGAACAGTCGAGAGCAGAAATTCGAAATAGAATGTGTTCGTATTCCAAGAGCGAATGTGAATTCGAACTGGCTCTCTTTCGAACTCACAGCTATACACAGATGCACACATACACGCATTCACTCTTGCTTGCGGCTTCATATAGCTGCGTCCGCAAAGGTAACAACAGCACAGCAACGACAATGGGTGCGAATGCGATAGCAGCAACCGCATTTAATGCTGTCTGGCTGCTCTAGCACGCATGAACCGTTCGAATTTAGTTTTTTTTTTCATTTATTCCGCGAGTGTTTAATGAATGCACTCGAATGACTGTGTGTTCGCCACTGCCATGGCAAAGCTATAACTATGTATGACTGTGTGCGTGTATATATATGCGTGCGTGTGTGAGTTTCTACTTGCTCGTACTCGCAGCTACAATTGGCAGCGCTGGCGCTGCGCGTTGCATGAGTTTTTTATTGATGCTCAGATATTTGAATTATGCCCGAGCAGTCAAAGTGAGACATTGGCGCTTCGAGCACGTATTCGCGGATATATTCATCGAAACAGAAACAGAAACAAAAAACGATACCCAAAAACTTTTGACCGTGGCTAAACAATCCGTCAATACGTCCGCGAATCGTGCGCCTCTCTACGGCTCACAGATAAATACAGCAATAACAAAGGCGGGCATCCGTTGGATACAACAACTGCCGCAGCTACAGATACAGATACAGATACATTGAACAACGCGCTGACTTTGAGTGATAATAACGAAAGATGGATGGGCCCCTAAGTGTTTGCAGTGCCAGTGTTTTCATCGATGACGTTTAAAATACATTCGCGCTGATGGATATCATAAATTCGGTGTGAAGCAGTCGCTTTCTACAAAATGCGAATCGGCGCATCTACGCCACAGCCCAACTAGAACTGTGACAAATCAAGTGCCTGTCCGCTGCGGCTAATTACGGTTTAAAAATCCGCCTAACGTCAAAAGTCAAGTGAACAGAAACCCTCTGAAGTGCAGGTAAAACAAAGTCGTGTCAAACGTCGGGATGCAAACGGATTAAACTCAGAATATGCGGGCCAAATCGGCTGACGATAATTAGCTAAAGTCTGAGAGTGATTCAACACGGAACTGTTTCCGCACTCAACTTCAGTTAACAACAATAAACTAAACAACTTTTCTAAATTTGTGAAATGCACCGAATAGCTATTTAAATTGTTTACACTTGTTCTACACCAAATGCTAAAGGCCGTCGGCTAAACTTTGTTCAAGTGAATGCAATTCGTAAAAATTTAATTTGTTTTTATATTTTAAGGAACAGGTAAAATACTCAAATAACTATTTAATAAAAGTATTTTTTTACAAATGGTTCAATAATGCTTTTGACTATATGAATTGCAAAATAATGACCAGCATTATTATTACATAAATGAGAATTAGTTGCTAGGAATATATATATTTTTAATTATTTTTTAATTTATCAAAAACAATAATTCTTTAGATAAAAAACGTGAAAAACAAATTTAAATTGAATGGCTATATACTTAAATTAAAAATAAATGTATATCATAGAAAGGTGTCAAATACGAGTGTTTTAGCCTAGTGCATTTTTAAATAGATTCTTGAAAAGATTTGATATAAAAAACACAAAATTTAAATCTCTTTATTCTTAATTCACGTACGAAATAGAAATATCCCAAATCTATATATTTTAATGTCTCGGTTACGTAATTCGTCATTTAAGATTTTTGAGAGAGAAATATGTACTGCAACTATGAATAAATTTAAAAGCTAAAAAATGAGTAACGAAATACTTTAACAAAAGTAAAAACATAATTAAGACACTTTCTAAAATGTTTTAATAGATTCTTTAGGTTTTCTCTAAACTCTGGTTTCAAATCCATATTTCCCAATCAAACCATGTATTTTAATTCTTTTTATTATTTGCTGAGATGAGTTAAACATAAATAAAATATTTCAATAAAAAGACAATTCTATTTACAAATCAATATATATCCAATATATCCAACTATGAATATTTTATATAAATAAATATTCGACAGAAACTATTTCGATACTTAAATATCGCACTCCCTAGCCCTAACTCGAAGTTCTTGTTCCTATATGAAGTCACTTCAAATTACTGAATTCTCGACTGGAATTGATATATTAAATGGGAATACAGTAGCACAACCTTCAATTAAATTAGGCGCGGGATAATATTGTTGTAATCAAAAATAAAACTCTATAGTGCTATATCAAATTGGGTTTGTTGAATTCTATATTTGTTGTTGGTTTTGTTGCTGCTGTTTGTTGTTTGGGTTGCGTGCGCGATATCAACGCAAAGAATTTTCACTTCATTAAAACGAATGCAGCCGTTTTTGAAATAATTAAGAGCCACAAAGGCGAAATGTCACAGCGAATGAAAAATGCCTAACAAGCAGCCACAATCTACCTACTAAAATATACATACATATATACATCGGACATATTTGTACATTACATTATATAGTAAATAGATGTATGTATTAGAAATGTAAATAGTTTTTGGGAAAGCACAGTTGTTGTACATAGGAATTGCGTGCACTGCCATCACATGGCCGGGAAGTCATGCTGACCAGACCGAGACTCGAGACTCGAATTTTATTAAAATGCGAGTCCGAGCTGCGCCCAGCAACTGCTTCTTCTTCTCGGCATACGCATTGATATGGAACGAAAGTGTATACCCATAGCTGAGGGTCCACTGGGCGCCCATGGTGCGCCTAGACCAATTTCGCTGCATGTGCACTTCTTCAGATCCCTATATAGATGCCACACCCGAGCACACTCAAGCACATGGTTAAATCGTATTGCCGCCACTTGATGTAGGTCACTTTCATTTGCATTTGCATTTGCGTCCAGTCCGTCTCTACCAGCGTGTGGTCCAGTCAGATCAAAGTGCGCTCAATGGGCTATTGCATAATGTGGACACAACACCAACGCCAACAGTTGCTGCCCGTTGAGCTAATTGGCTGCCTAGTTGTGTCCGAGTCGAGTCGTAGTCTGGATTTGTGTGCAGTTCTTGTTTGGGTTGTCAGCGCTTGAATTTATGCCATCAACATTCGCGTTTCGACTGCGCCTGGAGCTCACATTCATCATGGTACGTGCGCTGACCCAGCAGCGGGCCAAAATGTCATGATGATATTTCAGCCTAACTTATTTATATTTATAAATCAAAATACCAAAAGAAATAAACGTATGAAACACGCAAACTTTGCCGCGACAACAGCCATAACACAATGAACAGTTATTTTTGTTGTTGTTGTTGTTGCCGTTGTTGTTGGGGAGTCGTTGATCTATTGGAGCGACGGGCAGCCATTTGCTCAACTTTGTATTTGGATGTGTAGGTACAATAAGTGCCGGGACACATTTATTTTCGACAACTCGAAAGGAGACGCCAACTTTTCATTCTGTTTGCCAGCGCTGATTCCTATGCCGTGCACGGTGATAACAAATTTTTGATTTATATTTTTATTTCTTCGCTTTTGCGTAAAACGAATATGAAATGTGGCAGCTATATATGCAATTGTTCCAATATGAGACAACACTTAAAATGGAAACCTTAGCTTTGCATTCGATTTGTGATTTGTTTAGAATTCGTAGGGTTTGCCATTGACCGAGCTTTCAATAAGTCAATGAATGTATATGATATTTGTTTAATTTTCAAATATTGTTTGCAACTATCCCAATTGGATTATTATAAGACAGCTTGTTAAACCTAGATTTCAATACTAGCTCTGCTTTTCATAAGCTTTGGAATTGCATCATTAGCTGCTTGAATATTAGAAGTTGTTTACTCTTTCATAAATGTGAGATCAGAATATATGATCTGTCACATATATATGCTTTAGCCTAATCCTAGTAATGGTCTTTATCATAAAGAAAAGCTAGGCAATGAAGCTTCAAACAAGCTTAAATATTTTTACTTATACTACTTACTACCTACTTTGGTATTCTCTTGAAACCTTTTTCGCTTCTTAACTTTTCTCTCCTTATTGCTCGAATAATAACATCATAAATAAGTGCTAAACAGTAGCCAGCCAAATTATTTTGTACAAATAGCATTGTCCTTGGCTCTCATTTAGAGGACACTGTAATTTTTTTAATAGAAACAACTATGACATAACCGATCGTAAACGATGTGTAAAACACAGATTGTAGGGACACAAAAGGCGAAGACCGCAAAATCTGAGAGAGGCGACAACTGTTTTTGAGTACGTGTCAAAAGGTCAACAATGGCCGCTTGCAGTGAGGATCGAAGACTCGAGGAACAAATCAAAAACTCATAAAAATTATGAGTGCCACAACCGCAAGCAAAACACAGACGAGGGTTCAGACGAGAAACTGTAGCAACAGCAGCGCAGCACAGCGAGCGAGATAGAGAGAGACAGTGAGTAGAGATGAGTGAGAGAGAGAAAAACAAATAATAATATTTATGACTACTTTTATGAGGTGCTTACAAATTTTTATGAGTTTTTAATGGGCCCACTTGCATGTGTGTGCGTTTGTCGTTCCTTTTTGGCCCATTGTTGCTCTAGAGAATGAAAAAAATGAGAGCGAGACAGCCGGAGAGGGAGACAGAGCCAATGAGTGTGACTGCGCGTGCGCAAATACCTTTTGGAATTGTGCGAGTGCGACCTCGTCTGGTCTGGTCTCGTCTCGTGGGTCCCTTTCATGTTTACATACACACGAGCTACGCCCATGTTGACAACAAATATTAAAAATTATGATTTATGACCAGAGAACCCAGTACCTCGACTACAAACAAATAAACAAGGCGCGCTCAAAATCTGTAATGGTGACGACGACGACCACGACGAGGACGGAGACATTTGTAAAAGAAATATGTGTAACTGCTTAGGGTTTTGTTTTCATTTCATAATTAAGAGATGGCTGGCATATGGCTGCGGCAGTTTAAGATGATGAACTGCCCAGTGCTTAGAAATGGATGACAGAACAATATTTTGTAAAGAGTTGCGACTAAGAAAGATTTAGGGAGAACGAAAACAGGTTTGACAGCTTAAGCTTAAGGTTCTTATATAAGGCTTCCGATCATATATAACAAATTAGCTCTAGATAATATATACAATAATAAAGACCTCAGCAATCATTCTTAAAATATTCCCACATTCACTCATAAGAATATTGCCTATGATTGTTTGACGTAATTGTTGCATCAGATGATAGAATATCAATTTCTTGTTAATATCTTAAAATCTTAACTCTTTTTATTGACTTCATCTTAAACTTTAAATTCAAAATGTAAGAGTCAACTGAATGCAGCATCTTTTCACGTCCCTTTACTCGCTATCGATTATGCAAAAGTTAATCATCTTAATTATAGTAAGCAACCCTAGTTATGTGATCATTTCCCTAAGACCTCTGCCATTGTCAAGTCAAAAGTCAAGAAACCCTTTTCAGCTGTCGCATCGACCAGAAATTGATTTATGGTGACATAGAATTCGTCCTGGAAGAGTGAGGGGAAAGCCCCTCCAAGAGCTGCGCAGCGCATGTGCAACTCAATTGCTGTTTATTTACTCGTACCTTCAGCCGCTGCTTCGTGTTCTTCTCTCTTTATATATACAGCAGCATTTACCTGTGCCGCGGTCGGTTCAACGTTTTTGGTAAAAGGAAATTCGTTCTGCGGTTTAAGAGTTCCATATGAGAATTTCACTCCCGTTTCGTGGGCATATCACAAATGTCTACACAAAGGCAGACACTGCGAGGCAAAGAAAATGCCTAAAGGCCGCGCAAACGCCGAGACAAAGGAAACTCGCTCAGTTTTGTTCGCTCCCTCGTCTCAAAAATGTCGCTGCCATAATTTATGGCCTACGTACGAGGCGACAATCAGCCAAGCGACCAGCGCCAATCTAAGACAATAATTGTATCCACTCTCTATACAAATATATATACATAACTTTATATAATATATTTATATGTAAATGTGTATATATCTACGTATATATAGTCAGCCCGCAAATTCGGTTTGCGTTTTCATTATTCATGGATTTAATTAACACCAATTGAATCGCTTGTCGACTCGACTCGACTCGTTGGTAAATAGTTTCCAAACTCGTATAATTTATAGCTTTTATTATTTCCGAATTTTTAATTTGCCGTTAAGTGATCGAAGAAAATAAACAATAGGCCGATAGTGCGATCAACACCCATTTAATTAATTGTAGCCAAAAGATGGAAGCTCTCTTATCTAACTGTAGATAAAAAATAATAACTTGGCTTCACTTTTGAGATAATTGAGATTATAATTGAAATTATATTTAATAAATTTATTTGAGTTTTATCTAAAGCAAAATTTGATATTTTATTTAGCTGTAGGCTAAGGATGGACACTCTATTAAAAATATATGAAGATCGCTTTAACTTGAGATCAAATATCATATATAACTAAGAGTTAACAAATGTACAAATAAGACTAAATAATAAACTTTATCTCTTCTATATGGTTACATTAATTTGCTCAGCAAATAATTTATTAATTTATATATTCAAGCACTTTTTCTGTTTGTCCTAATCTCAATATCTTTTAGCAACATTTAATCTCGCTAAACCGAGTTCTTGGCCCCATCAAGCAGTTTTGATTTGATAATTTTGGGGTCAAATAATTTGCCAATGTCTACAAGTCGTCGGGTCATTGCAGTTGCTTATCTAAGCGTATAATTTGGATAATCAAACTGTTTGTATGTCGTTGCCTCTGGGCTAATTCAAAATCGAAAACTTAAGCCAAATGCCGTTACAATTGCTTTAAACTCCATAATCGCCAAATACCCAGGGCCGAATGCCGGGTTACAAAGTTTTTTTTACTGAAACGCTGCTCATCAAATAAATCTCTGTCGAGCAGTGGCTCCCCGACTGTGGACGTGTTTTTTTTTTGGTTGAGAAACCCGGCTGGCCAGGGTCAGGAAGAGGGACAGGTTTAGGCAGAGGTATAGGGCCAGGGCCAGAGCCAGAGCTCAACTTGAGGCCCGTACGCCGATTTAATTTAAAGCTTCAACTCCTTTCATTTGGACAACATGCTAAAGGGTTAAATTGCCCACTGAATCAAAATTATTGGTTTCATACGAAGAAGAAGAAGCACAAGTACAGAGTATCGACAAGAAGAAGAAGAAACTGCATCGAAAAAGAAAGAGAGAGAGAGAGAGAAAGCAGAAATACTCGCTCGGCTCGTTGCAGAGGTCGTTGCATTGTTTTTGGGCAATGGTCGTCTCTTCTTTTACGGCCATGTTCGTTGGCTTCCTGGTTGCTTGGCCAAGTCTTTGGCATTGCGTTTACACTTTTCGGCTTTGGGGCTACTTTTGCGGGCCGCCGTTGTTGCTTCGATTTGGGCCCAAACAAACGTTGCAATCGTGCCAGCTTTTGTTGCTATCTCCGCAATACAAGTTTTCCACCATTCAAACAAACGCGCTGCCGCTGTATCAGCGATGGTGTCCAACTCCGAGCGGGTCTCCAGCCCGGCCACAAGTGCAGCAAGTGTCCATGCAGCGAGAGTGGGCGGTGCTGACATTCCAGCCAGTGCCTCGCCGTGCTGTGCCACACCAAAATTGCATGCACGTAATGCCAATGCTTAGGCATATCCGCGCCTGCCCATCAGCTCCAGTGAAAACCAAACAGCTGCGTCCCGCTCTTCCTCTCGCGTCGCCTTCCCACCGAAGCAGGCAAACGGGCCGTGCTTTTGGCCAGGGGAAATTGGGTTCTTAGCCGTTTCAAATATAATTGTAATAATGATGCCCAGTAGAAAAAACGTAGCTCCATCGAAATTACAAGCCCAAAAACCATATTGAGTCGACAGAGAACACAGCAATTGCATAAATTGTTAAGCGTTGCTTGTTAAGTAAGATGTATGTATATTTATAATAATAAAATGAATATATATATATATTTATATACGATAATAATCGGGCAAAGGGAAAACTTATCTTGAGTTTATTCTTTCTTCCCGAACATACTGAAAATGGACTCTACTTTCACTGCGTCAACTCTCATTTGCAGAGTTTGAAGGTGGCAACAGGGCAACTGTAAACTCAGGGTATGCAACGAAGTCTGCTGATGTAATAGCTGTCAAGTTCCGGCCACAGCTATACAGACAGCTTACGCCTTAGCCGCTTGCAGCTTGTCCTTGAACCACTGTGCTTGCCAGTGCCAGATTTATTAAATGTACACAGTTTGCTGCTTAATGCAAGCCAAGATTGTTTCTTAAGATAATGCATAATTTTAAGCGTGTTTTCGTCTGCAAATAATGCTAATGTTGAGCTAGGCTGGGTGAGCACAGAAGCTCTGAGAGCTGCATAACTGATCGAGCATTGGGATCTGCAGTGGGCGGGCATTTGGTAGACTACACCTTAAGCCATTTTTTTGCAATCTGTAGCGAGCATCTGGCCGCCTCTTGCTGCGACGTGAAACTGTTGCATTAACCGCCTGCATTTCATTTCAGATACGAATCGCAGCGTTGTCCCGGCCACAAAATGGATCCCGACTGCTTTGCCATGTCCTCGTACCAGTTTGTCAACTCGCTGGCCTCCTGCTATCCGCAGCAGATGAATCCGCAGCAGAGCCATCCGGGCGCCAACGGCAGCGCCGGTAACAGCGGCGCGGGCGGAGCGAACGGACAGGGCAACTCTGGCGCCGCGACGCCGGGCAGCAATGATTACTTTCCAGCGGCGGCCGCGTATACGCCCAACTTATATCCTAATACACCGCAGGCCCACTATGCGAACCAGGCGGCCTATGGGCTGGGCGGCGGAGGCGGTGCGCCGGGCGGCGGACAGTCCAATCCCGATATGGTGGACTACACACAGCTGCAGCCGCAACGTTTGCTACTGCAGCAGCAACAACAACAACAGCAGCAGCAGCAGCACGCACATGCGACGGCTGCCGTTGTGGCACAGCAGCAGCAGCAGCAACAGCAACAGTTGCCCCAGCAGCAACAACTCCCGCAACAACAGCAGCAGCAGGCGAGCATCAGCTGTAAGTACGCCAACGATCCGTCGACGCCTGTTGGCAACAACAACAACAACAACAGCAGCGCCAACAGCAACAACAACAACCAATCGCTTGCCAGCCCGCAGGATCTCTCCACGCGCGACATTTCGCCCAAGTTGTCGCCCAGCTCCGTAGTGGAGAGCGTAGCCCGTTCCCTCAACAAAGGCGTCCTGGGCGGCAGCCTGGCCGCCGCTGCCGCCGCCGTCAGTCTCAACAACAACCACAGCGGCGGCAGCGGTGGCGGTGGTGGTGGCGGAGGCGGCGGTGGCCCCGGACCTGTCAACGTAAACGTAAACGTGCCCATGCACAGTCCGGGCGGCGACTCCGACTCGGAGAGCGACAGCGGCAACGAGGCGGGCAGCAGTCAGAACAGCGGCAACGGCAAGAAGAATCCGCCACAGATCTATCCATGGATGAAGCGAGTACATCTCGGACAGAGTAAGTGAAAAATATGTTATATTTCACATTTGATACTCTTCATACTCTTAACAGATAATCACATTAAGAGCGCAATATCCAAATATATATCCAATGATATATATCATATTATTCAATTATATTTTAAGCCCACTAGCTTTTATCATATTTTGAGATACAACTTATATCCATCTCTCTATCTAACCATTTATAGGCAGCTTATAACCTTATGTCATATACTGTCATGTGTCATATATATATATATTTTTATATATATATGACATATACTGTCATATCTCATAAATCCATTATATAACTTTTATTAGACTGAAAACTTTTTCCCTCAATTAAAGTTATAGAAATTCTGTTAGGCCGTATGTTAGCATTATTATATGTATATAAAGATCTTTATCTAAGCTCCGATCTCTTAACGAGTGCAACAATATTTTATTAAAACCATTTAATAATTTTGCCAATAATTAAGCTGAGCCAGATTGCAAATATATAATTTCTGCTAGCAAATTGCCCTTATTTATATTTATATATAATCGAATATAAGTGCGAGCACTTGCCTTGACTTTAACTATTATTAAAATATTATAATTAAGCATCTGATCACTGAATGTTAAATGTTGACAGATCGTAGAGCAAACTTGGCCCATTACACAGTTACCTAACTCAATTGTTAGTTCAAATGAGCAATTACGCGTACCTAGGCGAGAGTTCCTCAAAGAGACAGATAGAAAGATAGGCAAAGAGACAGAGAGAGGGAGAGAGAGAGGAAAAGTAAGAGTACTGAGCGTATTCAGAGTATCTCCAGCACCAAATTGTCTGGCAAGCCGAGCGCGCGGGGCAGCTTGTCAAAATACATAAACAATAACAAAAGATTTCCCTCACACACTAACACTTTCCCATTTTTCTTGCGGCGCTGCGTGAAAAGTCGACCGCGAAAATCGCAGCGCGTGAAATTGTAAACAAACGTGTGCCGCCCCCTGCTCTCCCATCCGCGGTCAGAGGCACCCGCGGCTAATGCCGACAGACTCCCACAATAACTCATAATACCGAATACCTAATTCTAATACAGATACAGATGCAGATAGAAATACAGACACAGATAGAGATACAGCTGGTCGGACTACTGCTGCTATGAATCTCGCACCTCTCGCTCCGCTTATATTTAAATTCTCCAAATTTCATGAAAAATTGTTACGTCTAGTGCGGCCTGCTGCTAGATACGATAGATACACTGCAATAGGAAAATTGTGAGACGGAAAATTGTTGAGCGATTTTTCATCATGTCAATGGCGCGCACACAGATTTTTCTTTAGCACCCCAAGCCAAGCCCCCCTACCGCCGCCTGCTCCACTACTGTGGGTGCCAAGCATCATCAAAATTTATTGACTGCAGCCCAAAAGTCAGGCCAGTTATCAGGTGTATAGTCGAGCTCCATGGCTTTGCCTATTAATCAATTAGTAAATATCTTTAACCTCTGAACTTTGCATAAATCAAGTATCCCACCGCAGTCAGTTGGCCCTGAAAGACTTCTATCTTAGCTAGAACCGCCCCCTAGTAATTAGCTTTGCCTAAAATCAATTGGCAAGTTTCTATAATTCCTATAAACTTTTATTAATATCCATGAAAGAGCTGTCATCGATCAAACGCTTCACTGCGCTCTTTAGCCAGCTCGGTTCACAGCTGATTGCAGCCAGTTGGCAGGCCTGGCTAATTGCAGTTTTTCAGCAGCTAGAAAACGGAATTAGCCAAATATAGATTTAGTATATAGCTGGTTATAGAATATTGAGTGATAATTTCACATTCAAAACTTCGCTTTCAGCTTGTAACTAGTCCAATTATTAACTTATATAAGATACTTGTTATATTGTCCTTTTTTTGTCATATATATTCAGTCTTATATATCTATAATGACTCTATATACAATTTGGCATCAATAATTGCCAGTTGGCAGCTGAAAACTTGACAAGCCAAAATCACAACATGTCAGCCAATTAAAGAGTCGTTGAAAAGCGCAGTGGCCCATGCTTTGCATTTGCATTCATAAATGCAACAGACAAACAATAACAACAACAACAACAACAACAATTGAGTCTACATATTGATTAAGCAGAAAAAGCGTTTTGCGATTTTCCATTTGTAAGGAAACTCGTTTCATGCCAATATCAAGTCCAATCAATGGGGCATATTGTTATTATTATTTATGTATCTGTAACTCATGGCAGCCAACGCAGACAACAACAGCAACTGCAGCAGCAACAACAACAATGATAACTGGAGAACAAGTGCAAAAAATAATTATAGCGCAGCACAGCAAAGCGAATTGGCCAAGATGCGTATTACTCGTATCTGGTAATTGAAGAACATGAATGAAGCGAAATGCAAACACAGGCTGCCAATTTTAGCATCAAATACATTTGCATACGATGTTGTGAATATATACATGTACATATGTATGTATATACACACATATATATATATATATATTCGTGTAGCTAATTTATGTATCTGTTTTTATGCATCGATGAGGTTTAATTGCATTCTATCCATCTGCTGTGAAGCTCACTCGTCTATGCTTATGAGTAGGCACGAATAAGTATGAGTGGCTATGGGCATGTATGAGTGTTCGTGCGAGTATTCATGAATAGAGACACGTTGCCCGTTGCCCCTGGTAATTAGTCCAACCCTCTGCAGTAGACTTAAGCCTACAAATGGATTGCGTTTATATGAATGTGGAGAGCCAGTTATGTTTATTTATGTCTGAGTGAGGAAAAAACACAAGTGAAGTTATTAATTATATTAAGCAAATTGTTTATTTATGTAACACAGCAAATTATCTTAAACAGAAAAGTAATTGCAGGCGCTGAAAATGAATTTTCCAACTCCATTTTTCATTGTTTGAATTTATTTTTAGTTATACTTATATTATTTGATACAATATTTTAGAAGGGACTCGCTGCTAAACATTTATTTCATTCTATTTTGAAATTGAAAAACATAATTCTTCTATTTTAAAATTGGAAAATTTTGTATATAATAAGACAAGACCAGAGAGAAAAACTTGATGTATATATAACAAGGCTAGGCAAGGATATATTTATGGATGTATTAGGTTTAGCAAGCCTTAAGGCAACCAGAATTTTGTACATTTTGTTTAAAATTATTTTGAAACCATTTTAAGCTTGTTTTTATATATTTTATGTGAAGTCCCAAGTTAGCAGCAATTAAGATAAACATTTTTCACGATAACTATAGAAATAAGTGAGTGCAGTTCGCTCACTCGCAAACTGCCACATAATTGCTGTTCATGGGTGTTCTATATATTTATGTACATAATTATTTTATAACGAGCAAAGTCAATAACCTTTGCTCACATAAGCCCCTCGCCAAACCTGGTAGCCAATTAAAAATCAGTTTTTCTAATGTTTCTTATCGCGCGGCGCTCAGTTGTTTCTCTCTCGTGTACAACTTAATTTTCGATGGCAAATGTCTTCATTAAATGCCAATGCGCTGGGCTACACATATTGCGATTTGAGTGGTTACATTGAGCCACCCAATTCAGCCCACTTGAAGAAGAACAAGAAGGAGCGAGGCAGAGGCAGAGGTAAAAATAAAATCAGAACTGGTATTAGAGAAATGTTATTAAAATGGACCCAGGTGCCAAGCAGAACAAATACTATGGAGCAGGGGTGTGGGGCTGTCTGCTCTGCTACTGCATGTTGAGGTGCTGATTAAATCCAGCAGCAGCAGCAGCAACGAGCAACAACAGCAACGACAATTACAACAACAGCATGTTAACAATTATGCAAATTTGTGTGCATGTTGAAGGTGCAACAACAACAGCAACAAGAGCTACAACTACAACGTTGATGGCATATAATCACGTCAAGCTTTTTTTATATTCATATTAAAATAAAGTTAAACGCCATCTTCGAGACGCGCCTCAATTAGGCGCTGCACGCGGAGAGATCGTCAGGCGAGAACGAGGGAATTCTACGAAACACCTTTTTTGCAAGAAGAGAGATAGAGAGAGAGAGGGAGACAAAGAGAGAGAGGCAGGCTGAGGCTAAATTCCACTTTGAACATTTGCATTTTGCATCTAGTTAAAAATGGCTTGGCTTAAATGAGCTCATAATGGCGCCGCGTAATAGCTAAAGATACAGCCGCCGCAATAGATATAGGCACAGATACAGAGCAAACAAAGATACAGATACATATATATATATCGCTTGGAATCTTGTGAAGTTGTTGTCTAATTGACAAAACCAAAGCTGGCGACGTTCCAAGCAATTTCGTAGCAGATCATCAAAGGTCTTTGCGCCTCATCGTTCGCCCACAAATTGAAAGCTAAACGCATCTATGAGATACAAATACTCGTACCTGCCCGCACACAAAAATGTCAAATGCTTATTAGTTGCAACAGGCTGCACCCCAGTCGCCCCACCTCCCCGCTCGATTGCTGCCACAAATTGTCAATTTAATAAATTTGTGAAGCGCGTCCCAAATGCAGGCGGTCGACGGGACAATCGCGGCTACCCGACTGTACCCTAATTAGTGGGGCTTTATTCATAAGAATTTCAATAGCCAAAAAAATCTAAATAATAATTAAAGCAAACATCTGGGCTAACCCAGCCCGAGGGTACTGCAACACACGCCGCAGCGCAGCAAATAAATTAATAGAAAATCAAAAAATTTCCAAGTTGTTAAAAACTAAAAACATTTTTACAATTTTAAAATAACAATTTCAAAAGCTGATGCCTCTTAATGAAATTCTTGAAACATGGTTAGCAAATATATTATTGTAAAATCTTTTCACTTTTACTTATTGTGCACGAACTCATTGAACATGGAATTTCAGTTTATAATGACTAAGCTAAATCGATTTGCCTTAAAAACTATCGATTGCTTTATTGCTATAGATCAATATATAAAGACTTAGATTATGTATATTATATATTATATTATATTTATTGATAAACAAATTGAATGTAAAATCCCTTTCAAATCTT